TGGACAATGCAATCATAGTTTTCGTTTCGAATAGAGTAGTTTGACAAGTTTAATAGACATTTTCTCTTTTAGAGACAAATGGGGGGAGGGTGCTAAAGATTCATGGCTGCGCTACTCATAGGTGCATGACAAAAAAGGAAATTCATATCGTGACAAGGACGGTGATAGTAATCAACAACCAGACAGATTAATGTAACTAAGCTTGAGGGACAAGTTGATCACGTGAACATAGAATACATTTACAATAAGGAATGATCTGTAATTCTGAGTAGAAAACCAACGTATTCGGTGACGGTTGAGATTTTTGGTGAGCTTTGTGACGAATAAAAGATTTGTGACGAGACTAGTGTTGGGTGAACTGGTGATTTCCAACAGCCCCATACATTTTAGCAAATTTTCGTGACCACTGTCACCTATCTCTAAGATAAGATTTCCTGTCACAAGCATAAGAATGCGGCATTTGCATCGGTTAAATANGGGGGGGTAATGGTTGATGCTGGGCTGATATCTTAAAATTAATTCTGGGCTCCTAAAAATATGACACCGAATCAGATGTCATTTGACTTTAAGGAACTGATCGAGTATGCAAATACATTACAAGTTACGAAGAGATCTCTCCCTAAGTTACCAGCCAAAGTGTTGGACCCTCTAGGACTTTTGAGCTCGTTAACCATTACAATGAAATGCGAATTTCAGTCTCTTTGTTTTGAAAAATTAGATTGGGATGTCAAGCTGCAAGGGAATCATCGAAGACTGTGGAAGAACTTTGCATCTAGCCTGATACAACAGAACAATGTGCATGTACCCCATCGTTACTTTAATTCGAGTTTGCCACCAACTGACATTCAAATTCATGCCTTTAGTGATGTACCAAAGACCTATGCTGCTGCCATGTATTTGCGCTCAGAGTATGAAGATGGACATGTTGCGGTCCAATTACTTTCGTCAAAAACAAGGGTGGCACCCATCAAACAGACTACTTGGTACACCAATCTCAGCAAGAC